TTTTTTTTTTTTTTTTTTTTTTTTTTTTTTTTTTTTTTTTTTTTATAACTGCAACTCGACAGGTCATTACCGACATCGAAACGTCAAAAGTGGTGATGGAAGTTCATTTGTTTTTCGATAACAACGTCCGTTTCAATAATTGTCTCTCGATTTACATTAATCATTGTAATTATCAAGATTCAATTGTTCGAAAAATAAATTAAATTTAGGAAGAAATAATCGTTCAAAGTTTCAGTTAATCGATTGAATTGAGTCGTCCATTGAATTACTTGGAACTTACTCAATTGACTTGATCAATTGAACGTTTGAAACAATAAGAAAATTCTCGAAAGATATAAGTGATTTAGATCGTTATAAATGATTGATCGTTATTAATTTATTTCTATTAAAATTCTACAGGATGTTTATATATATATCCGTGAAACATCTTTCGAAGATCAAAATCAAAGATTGAAACGAACGTAAAAGTTGGAGAAAGACAATTTACAGAATCAGACGTCGAAAATGAATTATTTACGAACGAAATTTTTGTTATCGAAACTTTTACAATACCCTTAAATTTTCCCCCAAAACTTTTTTCCACGAAACACCCTGTATATGCTGAGCACAAATTAAAAAAAAAAAAAAATTCAACGTATAATTTCCAATGTATTTTTCGAATCCTTTGGTTAATTTTTGAAAAAGCACGGATAACATTTCACTCGCGGCGAAAAATGAAATTACAACCCTTCCATTCATCTGTTCGTTTCCATTTTCTGAATGAAAAATCACGTTTGAATCGCGCGCCAACGCCCGATACATTCTTAATTTCCGCTCGATATCCATCCTCGATCCGAGCGGAAATTATTCGAGTGTCGAGATAATGGAGAGTGAGTACGTAAGTCGTTGCCATCGATAGATTCATCGTTCAGGAAATTTGGTCGATTAGAAAAGAGGAAAGGGAAGAAAGAAAGAAAAAGGAAGAGAGAAAGAGAGAGAGAGAGAGAGAGAAGGCGACGGTGCATAGTTATCACGATTACGTCGACGATGGGTTTGTTACGTGCCAACGTGTACGAGAACAGGTAATTGCGTGTCGATATCGATGGCATGACGCGTCGAGATCGTCCGAGATCGCCCGGGTGGAAGCTCGTTTGAAATTTAAATCGCGCGGGTAAATCGAGGACGCCATTAAAAGAATGACGATTCGTAATAGAGAATGGAGATTCGATTTCTTTCTGGTTTTTGAAATTAGAGATTTTTTTCTCTCTCTGGTATTGAAATTGATAAATTTATATAATT